ATCAAACGAGCAAAACTAAATTCTCTGTTCATATACTACACATAAGATTCGTCTCCTTTATACAAATGTACGTCCACTGTTACACTTTTAATGATATAGTGAAACATTCCAAAAGTGTCGATCTATTCAGTGATGTGTCCATATTTATAAAAAGTACCTACGGTGTTCATTACATTTTACTCTGTGTTTTTATATTGTATATGTCGTTTCGTTTTGTATATACTGCTGTGTGTTATTGTATTCCAAATTATTTATAGGAGTTCAATAAACAAATGCGGCATAATAATAGATGGTATGACGTTATGTTAATATGAGCCACGGGAATCATTTAAATATCTAAATATAGTTTATCACAGCCAAATTGTTATTGTTGTTTTCCAGTGTCCCATTGTTGTCATGGCACGATATGGTACTATTTTACAGTTCCTGAACATTATAGTCATATGTGTAATATTTGTAGATTCCACTATTGTCAATACGTTTACCCAAGATTCAGTTGGTTTTAATCACATGACTGTTGATACAATCACTGGTGACGTATACATTGGTGGTGTTGATTACATCTATAGACTGGATACAGATTTACAACTCATCTATAATATAACAACTAAACCTGATGATAGAACTGATAACTATAATAAAATATTATCAATCAACTACGATGACAATAATCTGGTTACGTGTGGAAGAGATAATGGATATTGTCAGATTAGAAACTTGACTGACTTGTCTGTGCTAGGTGATAGTGATATATATGTTGCTGCAAATACTGTGGAAGACTCTACTGTGGGATTTGTAGCACCCGGTTATGATGATAAACCTATGTTGTATGTTGGTACATCAAAACGAGGACTTGACTATGGAAGAGAAGCAGTGAGTGGACGACAACTTGAGGAAAACATTTTCAGCACAGTATCTGCAACCCCTGGTGTTACAACTAGTGTAAGTATAATCAGCTACTACCAAACATCAGACGATGTTATCTATATACAAGGTTTCAGCTATGGTGGATTCAGTTACTTTCTAACCGTACAACGTTTGGGTAGATATGACAATTCGTACATATCTAGGATAGTACGTGTATGTCAAGAGAGAAATGACTACTGCTACCATTCTTATACTGAAGTAACATTACAGTGTAACAGCCCTGATGGTACGTCATACAATTTACTACAAGCAGCCCATGTCATGAAACCAGCATCAGTTCTAGCTAT